GTAGCGTGTGTGTGTGTGTGACCCTGTGGTCTCTACCTAATTTTTTCTTTTCACAGGAAACACGCTGGTAGACCAAGCGTGACAGGGTGTGTAGCTTTATACAGTGAATGTGGTAAACATGCAAATTATGGTGGTTCACACTTGAACAGTTTAAACTACTGAGCTTCATACTTTAAACTACAACAGGAACATTAACACGTCTTTTAAATATTATTTACGTAAATGGCAACTTTCAACTGGATTAAACACTTTTGGATTGTGATTCAACCAAAACACAAATGTCGAATGTGCTGAAATAAAAACACGTGGGTCAGAAATAAAACCTGAATCACCTTCACTTATCTACGTGGACTCTGGTCTGACAGAGTGGATCTGTCTGAATGAACAGATTATCACAAGAGTTGTTTGGGGGGGGGGGATGTTGTATCAGACAGGGAAGAACTCATAACTTTGTAGTGTGGATCCAGATGTGGTGGATCGCATTGTAATTACATTTTCACCATTTTCTCAGGGACCTTGATGGAAACCTGCCATATTTAGAGGGTGATGTATCTGAGGTATTTGGTGCAGCTTGTTTGGATTTGAGGGAACCTGAGTGTCTTTTAAAGTTATCGGTGCGGTTGTCTGCTCCATTTAAGCCCTCAGGTGAGTCACTGTCCTGCAGGGGGGGCAGATTGAATCAGGTCTAAATCTGATGACGGGGCTTGCAGGCCTCCAGGACAGATGGTTAGTCTGGATATGTGAGATTTAAAAGAGGGATTTATGTAACTATTTAAAATTTGGTCTCCGTCAGTGAGCTGATTTCTGCAGATCAGAACATTTAGCTTTGCGTGTTTGTAGCAGTGACAGAAAAGATGCGGAAGAAACGGGAGAATGAAATGAAACAAAAAGACGAATGAAGGCTGGTGCCAGCCTCCGAGTGTCACCAGAGGGGGAGGGGGGGGACGTGAATCCTGGGATACTGGTGACTCAAAGAGAAACTGAAAGAGAAAGAGAAAGAGAAAGAGAAAGAAGAGGACAGCAGAGGAAAAGGAGGACAGAGAAAACATCCCTCCCACTTTTGATTTTAATTGAATCATAAGAAGAGGAAGCTGGAAGACGGGGCAGAAGAAAGGGAGAGCGAGAGAGATTAGAGGTGATAACCGGAGAGAAGGAGGGAGCGAGGGATAAGCACGTATGCCTGGTATTAGAGGTGTAAGCCCCGTCTGGTATTTTTAGTATTGGTTGACGGTCTCTTACAAATGGAAAGAAAGGAGACACTCAGCGTGGAAGCGAAGAGGAGAGGAAGAATCTGAAGCAGAGAAGAGGAGGACAGAGAAGAAGGAGGGATGGACATAAAGGAGTGACGCTGCCTGTGGACTGAGGAAGAGGAGGGGCTTGTGTTGCTCTGTCTCAGTTTGTTGTTGCTGTATCGTGTGAGTCACTGTCTCTTACCTGGTCAGGTGTGTGTGTACCTGGTCACATGACCTCCCCAGGACTTACTGTTTGACTCTGTGGCCGCAGATCTTAGTTTGTGCTGACTCGTTGTGTCCACACCCTTAAATATCGACTGTTTTTCTTAAAGATGACAGTGCAGAAAATATTCAGAACCGCGTTGGTGTGGAGCTATTTTGAGAGAAGACTGGAACTCTGCTACAAGCCTGTTATTCACCGCTGACTGCTCATTGTGTCGTGGAGCTAGAAATAAGACTGTTCCTTGTGCACGCCTTCGTCATCTCCCGCCACACGCAGACACGCCCGCACTAATGAGATGAACGACTCTTGAACGACTCTTGATGAGGTGCAGGAGCCGAGATGTCAGCTGGAGTAGAAGTGTGTGCATAGAGCTGCAGGACAAGCTTCACTTATTTTTAGAACTTTTGTGTCGTCTGGAGAAGACTCAAGTGGATTACATAATCACAAATGGACATGGCCTCGATCTTTAAATCTTACAGAGGATATCTCGGCCCGCCTCAGTTCCCCCTGCACATCAGTACTTCCTCCTTTTCTGCTCTGTGACGAAAAAAAAAAAAGGGCCTCAAACTGTAAACGTGGATTTGCTCTACATCAACGTATCGTCCCTCCTGGCAGTGAACCGAAGAGCAGAGCTGGTGTCAATGTCAGCAAGGAGAGCTGCTTACCTACGCAGAGCCAGAGAGAATCACTGCAGACAGAAAACAGATAAACAGTGCAGCCACCCTGCAGCTCCGCAGAGCCTCCGTCAGCTGCCGTCTGAGCACAGAGCGTCTGCTGGCGCCTGGAAACCGAGAGCGAGCCAGCAAGTGACAGACAGAAAGAGAGAGAGAGAGAGCAAGTGCACCACTGACTGGTGAGTTAGAAGAAGTGAGGTGAAGAGGGAGGGAGGGAGGGAGGGAGGGAGGGAGGCCGTTCTTTTTTAGACCAAAGAGGGAGGAGCTGCTACTGCCTTTGACACACACGTGTGAGAGCTACTGCTGCTGGGAGAGAGAGAGAGAGCGAGGAGGCCGGTGGAGAGAGGCTGACATGGCAGCGATCGAGGAGAGAGGGAACGGGTGAGACTGAACCAGCAGAGAGAGAGAGAGAGAAGACACCCCTCTAACTGGCAGCACTGGCCAGCGTCCTCCTCACACTCACCCTGCAGCGTCCTCCTCCTGGACACGTGGAGGCGGCAGAGACGTCTCTCCTCCGCTTTAATAACCAGACCTGTGTGTTGGATTATGAGCCTTCATCAAATGAAGGAGTGATTACAGGAGGAGAACACTGAGGTGGACTATGTGGCCTGACTACAGGAGTGAATGTCATCTCAATGCTCACCTGTACTCGCTCATGTGCTGTGCAGGTCAGTGTCAGAAGTCTGTGTGTGTGTGTGTGTGTGTGTGTGTGTGTGTGTGTGTGTGTGTGTGTGACCACAGAGTGTTTGTACAGTACTTACACTTGTTGTGTTCATGCTGCCGGGTTGCGGAGCAGTTCATGTCAACACGTGCTCCACTCTGTGTTTGAACACTTCCTATTTGTGCACATACTGGTGACAACAGTTATTCTGAATGTGGTCTCCATTACTCAATGTTGGTGTCGGGGCAAAGAGAGTGACACATCAGTCTGTGTGTGTGTGTGTGTGCGTCTTAACAATGGCCTCCTCTGTAGATGAATGAATGAACGCCTCTCTGTAGCTGTCACTCACACATTCCTCCTCTCGTGTCTCCAGTTTTTCACATTTGAGATTTATAACAGTAATGACCACATCTAGATAAAGTCCTCAGAGGTAAATCATTCACAGTGTGAGCGGTTATAGGTGTGTGAGTGTGTGTGTGTTTGACCCAATAACATGTCGGAGCCCGAGTATTTTCTCTGGGCTGACTAGCCCAGCTACCCGGGCAGGTTTGGGAAGCAAGGCGTGTTGCAGTGCTATTTTGCAAGAGCATGTTGAAATATGTGTTTTCTGCAAGGGAGCTTGTCCTCTATGTAAATCCCTTAAGATGTCACCCTGTGTGTGTGTTATGTGTGTGTGTGTGTGTGTGTTTGCGTGTGTGTGTGTGTGTTATGCAGTGTTGAGATTGACCTGGAGTTTTATCCAGTTGAGATATTTACCCAATAAATCCTAAATCGAATTTCCTCTGTGGAAATCCTTTCTGCTTTCGGAGCTCGACAGTCGCAGGTGTCGAGTTTGTGTGCAAATCTGTCAGAGTGTGTGTGTGTGTGTGTGTGTGTGTGTGTGAGATAGTAAAAGAAAGATAACAAGAATCTGTGAAGTAGGAAGTGATACTGTTGATACTCTCGGCTTCTCTCCCTCATGGCTTCACCGTGGCAGCTGATAAACAACAGGCAGGAGGGGACGTACCTGCTGAACGCTGCCTTCTGATTGGCTGCAGCTGAATCTGGAGGGAAAATCCCACTCTGTCACTTTCATGACATTGGACGAAACGTTCACACACAAGGAATTATTATATAATAATTATATATAGAATGATTTAGTTAATCAAATGAAGGTAATGTTACGTAGTTAATGTCTGCAGGATAAAAGCTTTTTACTAAAATGAATCATCATGATGAGTTTTTGCTGATTCATGTTGAACCATTTCATGAAACAGTCTCTGGCAGATTAACGTATAAAGGAAATGATTGGTAGATGCTGTGTCTTCGATGCTGTGGGCTACTTCAGTACATTACACACACGTTACGTTACTTTTCAAGTACGAGGAAGAGATAGTAGATAATAATGAGAATTCCCTCGTATCCATCGCACTTGACATATAGATCCTAAATTTTATTAATTACAGTCTTGAAGTCGCAGAGACAAGAGGACGTTTCCCTCTCCGTCCTTCAGGAAGTCAGATATTCAACAGAATGGCGCTAATGGAAAGAGAGGGGGTCTGTGTTTTCTCTCAGACAGACTGATATGAGCAGAGGAAGGCTGGAGAGGAAGAGAGCGGCTCCGTCAGAGAGGAGGAGGAGGAGGAGGAGGAGGTGGTGGTGGTGGTGGTGGTGGTGGTCGCGGGGTAGATAACACAGTTGTGGCCCAGCATCAGGCTCTATTCCTGGCCTGGTTGCCTCACTCCTCTGGCCTGTGGAGGACTGGCTGCAAATCACACCTCAGATCCAGACTCACACAGAAACTGTCTGAGAGAGGAGCACGACCACAAACGTGGAGGAGAGAGAAGGAGAAAAGGAGTTTTGAGCTTTGCTGGTATAAAACCTCAGTTTGCTCAGGATGACGGACTCTAACAAGAGATTATAGATAAAGTTTCTTATCAACCGGCTTTTGCGTTTGACATTCCACCTGATCATAAACAGATTTATCTTCTCTCTGTGAGATAAGAAACGTGAAATAACAAAAACACAATCATCCACTTTCTTTTATTGGGTTAAAGGAATGTGTGAGTATGAGAACAGAGTAATCAACACAAGTCACTGCAGAGCTTCCTGTGTGTGTAGCTCCGCCGCGTTCTCACCTGAGCTCGATCTGTGTGTAGGTGCAGATGTGCGTGTGGATTTCAGATGATGTGATTAACTTCTTTTTTCTCTCTTCGTTTGTTTTCCTCCAGATGAGCGAGACAGGGTGCAGAAGAAAACCTTCACCAAATGGATCAACAAGCATCTCATCAAGGTTTGTGTCCTCGAGTCCGTTCCGTGTTTCTGCTTTGACCTTGACCTTAGCTCTGTTTGCTCAGTCCCTCCCGCTGGATATTACCCATGATCCTCGGCCTCCTGATATCAACACAGATCAAATAAACCAGTTTGTGAGTCGGGGTCTTTTCCCGTAATTCCTCATGCATCTCCCAGAGGGCTTGATAACACGCAACATATGGAACTAAGTCCTGTCCGCCTGAACATTTTAAATTCACGTTGTAATTTCTGGCCTTGTGAGCATTGACGGGTTTATTTTAAAATCAATGACCCTCAAAGGTCTGAGCTCATGAAGGAGCTGGACTGTGTCTTGAATCTCAAATTGAGTGGGAGCGTAGTAATCCCTTCAGAAACAACCCTTCCAGCTGTTTGATACATCAATTTAATTCCCGCTGCTGTTACACAATACGAAAACAGAGCGAGCGAAATAAACACTCACATTTAAAAGCCTTTTTAAAAACGTCCTGCTGATCTGTCCCGATCGTTGTTTCCTTCATCGCTGTCGGTAACGACTCTGAAGTTGCCGGATGTTGAATCTCTCCTCTCTGTCCGGCAGCGCTCGCACGTCCGTCGTGTTTAGTGGTGAATAAAACTGAATGTGAGTCTGGAGTAAATATTTGATAACGATAATTGAATTTAAAATTGTTTACAGGAACGCAGATATTAAATAATAGATTGTCGAGGGTCAAAGCTGAAGAGCAGCTTCCCCTCACAGTGCACAGTTAACTACGCACAGTATTAACAGAAGTTAGAGATTTACACGAGCTCGCAGGCTTTTATTCAGCTGCTCTATGATCGATAGGACCACAAACCTGGAACCAGAACCAATTTACCATCTGTTGGGTCTTAGAGGAGGGTTGTGCTCTGCTCGGTACCGCTCTAGTTATCTCAGACTGTAACTCTAGTAGTTTTCAAAGACAGCTGCCCGTGTGCATACTGACGTACACACATGCCACTTTAATCATATCCATAATGTACAGCATATATACCTTCTATCACACCTGCTCCGGCTGTGCGGAGAATGTGGGGTTTGTCCGTCACATGACCGGGGAATGAAACTGTCTGACCCCATAACTCTGGAGCAACTGTCGTCACAGCCCGTGGATGTAACTCTATCGGCTGGCAGCGACACGCCGCCTCTAAATGTAGGTCACAGGTGAAGATGCAGAACAGCAGCAGTATTTTTATTTTATTTTTTTCCAGTGCTTTCCAGTTTTTTTCTTTGAGACAGAAGAGACAAGAGTATTTCTTATCCAGTGTTGTGAAGTGCAAATATTTGCTTTGTCATCTTTGTTCCTATGACTTGAGGAAAATGATCATGAGATAGAAAACAAATGAATGAGTGTTAAGATAAATACCTGAGATGTTTGTTGCAGCTTTTCAAATTTAAGAATTTACACGTTTTTCAAAAACTGATTTATGTGTAAATCAAATATTTTTGGGTTGTTTGTCAGACAAACAACGAGCAAATTGTAAACTTGTTTTGGACATTTTTGGACATTTGTCCCCCTGTTTGTTTGCATTAGCTGCACAGACCTCAGACACACAGACAGACGGGAGCTGTATTCATTAAAGAGAGTGCCGACCTTCACTGTTGTGGGGGAAACAGGAGGATGAGAGGATGAGTGGAAGGAGAAGAAGTGAGGATGACATGAAAACATAAATATCATTCGACCTGATCAGCTGGAATTCAGAGACAATCACAAGCAGAGGAAAAGCCGAGCGGATGAAGCCAGGAAGGAAAATATCAAAAGAAGAAAATGAATCTCATGTTACAGAAAGAAGATTGAAAGACAAAGAGACGAGCAGAGCTTCCTGTCGGCTGACATCACTTGTTTGCTCTGTGTGTGTGACGTCTGGTATTTTTCTTGCTGCTCAGGTGTGCAGGGTGTTAACAGGTGTGAGAGCGTACAGTGCAAACACGGGCCAATATAAACACTGGCCTCACAGCGACCTGCTGGCGTGCACGGACATAGTTTATTGACACAGAGTAAATCCTGTAGATGAAGAAGTCTAAGAAGAGGAGGAGGAAATAAGTTTTCAGGAGCTTCTGTACTGGCGTCACTTTCCCGAACCGGAGTCCACATCATTTTTATTTACTGTCTAAACACACCTATAGAATCATCCTGACTTCCAGGCACTGTGTGACAAAGGCTGGTTGTTGGTTAAACATCACGGAGGGACGTGTTGTGGTCGAGTCACCTCCAGGTCATAGAGCGAGCTCTCAGGAAGCCGTGAATAAACTCACACAACCTGAGACACATTTAGACGAAAGCATCATTTCCAGTCAGTGTTGGATGCACACATTTGTTCCTGTCGTCTGATTAGCACATGTTTCGTCAGCTCCTCTTTGAAACGGCTGATGTCAACCTTGCATAGAGAAGCGGAGGCAGCGACCGAGGGGTGAGGGTGTGACACGGACGAGAGAGGAAGAGGGGAATGGACTGTGAAAGTGAGAAAAGGTCATGAAGGACAAGTGGACGGATGTTGTTAGTTCTGTGGATGAGTCTCAAGATAGTTTCCAGGTGGAGAGACGTCTTCTGCTGCTCTTCAACAGGGACGCAGTGAAGTCTGGAGCATCTTCTAATAAAGAAGAGTTTCATTTCATTGAAATGAATTCACACCTGAGTTGGTTTAGTTTTCGGTTCAGTTTCTCTCTCAGTCCACTCTTGTGACCGTCTTGCCCTCCTCTGGCGAAATGTGGAAGTGCAGTTTCTTGTCCTGAGGCCAGAGACTGCAGCAGAACTTTGCAGGTGCCGAGAGAAGCAGCACAGTCACTGTAGTGCAGGTCGGCATGTGACCTCGGTGGGTTCGGATTATTACAGCAAAAAAAGTTCCACCTCCTGCTCCGCGATGGAGAAAAACACCATCGAGTCACTGCATTTACAAACACAAACGCCTTTTCTGTTGCTCTTGCCTGTAAACACGATGCACTGCAGAACTGGAAAGTGGAAACAAACCCAGAAAAACTTTTTCAGTCGTTCAACATGAGGAACAGAGTTTGTCTTAGAAAATAAAATCACAAAATAAAAACAAAAGGACCTGTTAGAATGTTTGTGGGCAGATGCTGATACACATTTTATAGAACTTGAAATAAGAAAACAAACTTAACTTTGTGCACATCTAACATCCTCTGGTCCACATCATAACATAACATAACATAACATAAGAACTAGTAAATGAAATAATAAAATGTATTATATATTATGATATAAAAAGTATTCTGACCCGTCTCTGTGTCAGCGTCCCGCTTTATAAACAGCGAGAGCCCCTCGTGTCCATCACGGTCGTCAGGCTGCTGAGTCACCGTGTGAGCAGTGACTCGCCGCCTCCACCCCACCGCTTCTCATTGTCGAGTCGTTGTCATGGCAACCGATTCGAGAAGCCACAGCTGGTGCTCCGTCTCCTGTTGGCCTGGCAACCGCTGTCACCAGCCCCGTCAGCCGCGGGGCAGCCTGGCAGATGTCAACAGGGCTGAGTCCACAGAGGGATGATTGGAGTGTGGAATTAACTTTCTGTCCATCTCTCTCTCTCTCCACCCCCCTCTTTCATCCCTTCTCCCCTCCCTTCCCCTCCCTCCTTGCTTCCTTCCTCCCTCTTTTCTCAGGTGAGGAAGCACATCACAGACTTGTACGAGGACCTGAGGGATGGACACAACTTAATTTCCTTGCTGGAGGTCCTCTCTGGAGTCACCCTGGTAATTCTACTTCTGTTACACGCTCACACATGCACAGATGATGTTCACAGTCAGAATCTCTCTGTTTGCCATCACGTCCTCCGCTCCATCACACTCCCTGTCATCCCAGCTTCAGTGCACCCTCATCGTGGTATTCCCCAGTTTGAGGGTTTCAGACGTTCAGGTGGTTTCTCTCTAACTCCAAAAGTGCAGTAAAGCAGATGTCTGAGCCCCAGTCGACTGACTGTACTCAGCGGGATGACGTCTTGGTCCTAACACAGACAGACAGACAGACAGCGATGTGACGCAGGCTGGCTCAGTAGTAGACGGGTAAACTAACAGAAACAGACGTCTGACCGGACAGTGTCGACTCCATGAACCCACAGAACAAAGATGAAATAAGTTCGTCAGGGCAGAGGGGACATTCACGAGGTCGTCCTGTTTACTTGAGTTACAGTTGTTGACACAACGTGTTTTTACAGGAGAGCGCTTTAAGAGGTTTATTAAGAATTTTGTAGAAATGGTTTTAGTACGACTCCTGCTCTTTTCAGACCTCTTCAGTCTGTCCACCAGTTCTCATGCTACGTTTCCTCTTCCTCTCTTTCTATCTCCCATTTTTCCTCCCTTCTGTTACCGTAGCAACAGAAAAGCGTCCCCGCTTTGAAAAGGGCATTCGCCTCGCGGGCCCCCCCTCTCATCTTGCTCAGAGGGGAGGACAATGAGGAGGAGGAGGAAGGAGCCCAGGGAGTATGTTCGAATCAAACCCATCTCACCCGCCCCCCCCCCCTCACTCACTCTGTCACCTCTGACCTTTGACCCCTCAGCTTTACCCTCCGCCCCACAGGTGGAGCTGTGAGGCTGCATGCGAGTGCTGTGACACCGAGTTCTGACCAAACCACACACACACACACACACACACACACACACACAGTTCAGTGCTGTGACTGTACGTTATGTTCAGTTCTGTTGAGTGACAGCAGCGATTCTCTACTTCTGCTGGTTTTCGTGTTTTTCTTTAATTTATCAATCAAACCTTTTTTTTCCTTTTGAGTTGATAGATACACAAAACAATTGTGTTAAGTTTCTGAAAATCTAGTATTTACAAGGTATGTTTTCACTCAACAGCGATAAAATCACTTGCGGTCTGTGTTTTATCATTTATCCTTCGCTGATTGAACTGAATCTGTGAGAGCTACAGTTGTTTCGTTGAATTATGGAAATATAAAATTGTCTTTAAATGGTAAATACAATCAAATAAGAATTCAGCTGCAATTATGGAGATATGAGTAAATTAAAGGACAACACAACTCCTCTCTCTCCTGTCTCCTCTCCTCTCTCTCCTGTCTCCTCTCCTCTGTCTCCTCTCTCTCCTCTTTCTCCTCTTCTTTCCTCCTCTCTCTCCTGTCTCCTCTCCTCTCTCTCCTCTGTCTCCTCTCCTCTTCAGTCTTGCTGATGTGATGACTAACCCTGAGTGAACCCTCTTTACCAGCACACTGTGAACCCACATTTGCTTTTTGCACTTTACTCGTGTACTCCATGCAACGTGTGTGTGTGTGTGTGTGTGTGTGTGTGTTCACATTAAACTGCCTATCATTTAAAAAGGGCAAAGTAAACCAACAACAGTTTCTATCCAGACGAGTGTTCCAGCTCCAGACCATATCTTTGTCTCCACTAACACACCTGTAAATGTGTCGAGTCATGATGAGACCCGATCAGGAAGTGAACGTGGACGTCTGCTTCATCTTTATTTAAAGTCTAAATCTGTCCGTCCAGAAACGAATCCTCGGACTAAAACTGTCCCCGCAGCGTTTCCAGTATCATCCAGTTTAGAAGTGTCAGCGTGCAAACATGGGGATGAGTCGTAAAACTAAAACGTGTTAGTGTGGATGCCTGTGAAAGAAAGTGAACGATGAGTGAAAACAGAAGAGAAACGTCTGATATGGAGTTTGCATTGTTCATGTTGAACCAGCATGTGGTGTGACTCTGGTTTGACCCTCAGTTTCCGCATGTCTTTAACTCTTCCGTTGAAGACAGCGCCCCCTCTCTCTCCAGAGGACCAGTTCATGACTGCACTGCACTGCTGGATTTATCTCAGCCTTATTCGCTCACACTTCTGCTGCCGTCTGTGTTTGTGTCACACAATAAATAAATCAGTGAATTTAAATCTCGTCTGTGACTTTTCTCATGACTTGTTTCTCCTGTCGTTTCTGTTCCAGCCCAGAGAAAAAGGGAGAATGAGATTTCATCGACTGCAGAATGTCCAAATAGCTCTGGACTTCCTCAAACAGAGACAGGTACACACACACACACACACACACACACACACACACACACACAGACACACACACACACGCACACACATGCATGGTGTGTCTGTTCTTAGGGAATCAATCTTTTCAATATTTTTTCATTTTCAGGTCAAACTTGTGAACATCAGGAACGATGACATCACAGATGGAAACCCCAAACTGACGTTGGGTCTCATCTGGACCATCATCCTCCACTTCCAGGTCTGTGCCCCTCACTTGCTCCTGCTGTGTCTGGCTCTGTATTTAATTTATCCAGTGTTTCCTGCACGGTGGAATCAACTGGATGCGCAACGAATTATTGCAAGATCGACCCCCCCCCCCCCCATCGTGAATATATGTGGAACTGATTATATAATAATTGAGTTACGGACCAGATCATTTCATCTGGGTTTTTAATGGATTGAAGTGAAAGCAAATTGCTCCAAATGCAGATTTGTGAGCTGTCCTCTTGTTACTTGGCATCTTTGACCAGCTGTTGGATTTGAGTTATTATCACTGCCTGGCTGAATCTAGCACTGTGTGTGTGTGTGTGTGTGTGTGTGTGTGTGTGTGCTGGCAAACCAGACCTGACTTGCATAACAGAAGAGGAGGCCTTTTCCAGTTTTGTAGAAAAAGAGAGTGTGTGTGTGTGTGTGTGTGTGTGTGTGTGTGTGTGTGTGTGTGTGTGTGTGTCCTTGTTCTTCTGGTTAATCTCTGAGCAAGATGTGTTCTGGGTATTAGACGTGTTTCCTTCCTGTGATAGTGGGTGCTCTATGTTTCTTCAGTGAGGATGCACAGAAATATACTCAGAGCAGAAACAACATGATGTTTAACCGTGTGTGTATAAATGTAACTCTTTCTTACTTGTAACTAAACGGAGCTGAATGATAGCGAACGTTGGACTCGTGTTCATCAGCGGCACAGAAACTCCACAGCTCGTCTTCATTGCTCTGAAGTAAATAAAAACTGAACAATCCACAGATTTATCACAACGTGTTTCACGGTAATACACAAAATAATTAAAAAGTGTCCTGCATGGTTGAATTAGACAGTGGGACTAAACGTTGTCCACGGGGCAGCTTGTTTGGTCTAGACACTGAGTCACCTCAGCTGTTGTTCCCTCTCTGACTCCTGATGTGGAATAATGTCCATCAAATGTCCCCGCATCACTGTAGCCTGCAGACAGCGTCGTACTCTGTTCAATCACTACAGCGGGACTCTCGCTCCCATGGCTCCCGGTCGAGCGACGCCCTCATCAGACACAGAAGCTCTTTTTTCATGCTTCATTTTCTGCAACATGGAGCTTTCGGAAAAAAAGGTCGTGAACTGTTTGCAGTTGCTGCAGTTGACCACTAGACTGCGCTGGGACGTGACCCTGCAAGGTGAAACTGCCAGCCTTGTCGCTATGGAAACACTAGTGCATGACACCACGGCAACTGTTTCGGTGGGCATGACTCAGCAGAACACGGTGCAACTGAGACAGAGGGAGATGCAGGAGGAGGACGAGAGGACTAAACCGGGGAAAATGGAGAGAACGGAGAACTGGAGGAGAGAGGGAGTCGTAACTGCAGAACAGTCCGAGTTCATCCGGGTGCGAGAGCTGATGACAGTTTCACATTAGAGCTGCAGCGAGAAACTCACACTGAGCTCTGAAATACTGCAGCATGTCAGCGTTCCATCATGAAGCGAAATGATCTCTGCTCTATAATCACACGGCTGAAAAAAAAAACATGGCCTATTTAAAACTCAGTATATGAGCTTGTATTTGTGTAACGTATTTCTATACCTCCTGATATTTACCACGAGAACAGTCCTATGGTCTGACGATCCTGGTGATACGGTGTCATGAAAACAAACCTGAGTGCGTGCACGTGATGTGAATGACTCAGTGGGTCTAATAATAGGAACTCTGCCACTCAGATATCAGTTTTAATTCGAGTCATGACAGTTATTATTTCACCAGCGCGTCCAATTAAAGAGGAGGTGTTAAATCTGACAGCAGCCTCCTTCAGCCATTTTGTGTTCTCACTTCTTCTCCGTGTTCTTTCCTTAAATGTTTTCACTTTTTGTTATCAAATTATTTTTCATTTTGTCCTGAAAGACGAGGATAAAGGTTTTAATTTCAGTGCCGGCTTGCTCTCAGCAAAACTTCTTTTTTTTATCATAAAAGGGATCATTATCAAACCTGCGTATGTAAATCCCATAAGCCCTTGCAGCTGTGGCACCAACAGAAACTGATCCGTCATAATTTGCCATCATCTCAAACATGAGCCTGATTGCACTTACTCCATCGAACCACTAGATGCCACAAGTTAGCTCAGTATAATGATGGAAGTTCCCAGTCGTCCCCGTCCGTGGGCCCGCCTCCCTCTGCCTGTGATTGGCTAACGAGCTGTTTGTCACCGTTAACTGCCAGCGCTTTAATTTCTGTGTTTTCACTGGGACGCTTCGAGGCTCAATCTGCAGGTGGAGCCAGTTTCTTTGAGCTGTTGATTGGTTCTAATGGAGGTTTATATTTCCCAGGTCCATCACCATCTTCATCAGTGAACACAGGCCTCAGTTTAAAGTGCGTTGCCCCTTTGAAACAGTAAAATGCTGTTAAGTGACTGTTGTTTTCCAGGGCACCACTTTGCCGAGGACGTTTAGGTGTTTAAGTACTTAATGTGTTGCGGCATCACTCTTCTGAATTAGTTACTGTACGTCATGTCGAAGCAACGAGCTAATGTAAGCCGTGTTTCCTAAAGAGCTTAAATAAAACAACGATGCAGAGACAAAAAAAAGGAAGCGCAGTAATCACCACTTGTTTGGTAAATGAAGTCGAGGGTCTTAAAGTTTTTCTTCTTGCTATTCTTTTTTGTTGGTTAGGGACCGTAAGACTTTTAGGAACCTTCTTGCAAAGCAATAAATATCTACAATTCACAATCTGGGATGTAAGAATGTTCAGGTTCAGCATCTCAACGCTGAGTCTGATTCATGATAATTAAAATAAACATCAGTCACATTATCAAAAAAAAAACAAGAGCAGCTGATCAAAAGAGCTTCCGATTGTCCGACATGCAGCGGTTCTGACTTTTGAAAAGCCGACGCTGGGATCAGGCTGAAGTCTGATTTCCACAACTCATGATGGCACGTCGCCACAGTGAAGGATGGAAGTACTCGATTTGTGCTTTTCTTCCCGTGGTTCTTGCTTTTTCTCGTGTGTGTGTGTGTGTTTTCGTGTTTTCTCGTACGCTTTCGGGGCTTTCAGTTTAATGAGAGACGATGGATTACTGCGGATTTCGCCACTTGAGACCACTGCCGCCTGTTTTCTCCATCCTTATCTGTCTTGGGAAAATAATTGCCATACGTTAGACACTGTGTTTATGCAAAGTGTATATTACTGTAATGTTGTGTTGTAATAGATCACATGTATGAGTTGTGTTCTTCCACTGATGAGATGCTGGGTGGAAGTCTATAGAGGATTGAAGATAGAATTATAAATGTGTAGGAGGTGAATTAAATATGAGACGTGTTTGTTTAGATGTTGAATCTGAATCTATACAGAACTGTTCTCAC